TGACATGACTGAGAGCAACTAAATGTGCTTTTCCTCTGTAATTAGGGTTGAGTGAAATGAATCTGTCAATGGTAATGACCAAAATACAAGGCTAACTGCACCAGGGAAACATGGAATTTCTCCAACATATTAAAAATCAAGAACAGGTATGGACATTGAACGTAAGTATATTCCTGTTTTATACTTAAAAGGTAAAAACACAAAGACAAGTTTTTTAGTTCTGCTCTTTTCCTAAAGAGATTGGGAACCCTACAGTGTTAAAATGACTAGCAGTTCAACAGCACAACATAGATTTGGACCCCTTTGCTCTCATGGTTCTGTTTAGCAGGGAGTTAGCCAGCTATGTTAGTCTCAAGTCAGGCAGAAGGCAAGGCAAAGGTGCGCCTTAAAGAACTATGACTCAGCATCTGAGGAAGCGAGCTGTGGCTCAGGAAAGCATATACATCTCTAACTTGCGTTTAATAGGAAGTGAGCAGAGTTCTAACCATCAAGCAGAGTCCATAGGCAATGGTCAGGGGACTGGATGGCTTGAGAAGCTGGAGTTAAGATGCATGATTGAGGTGACAGTGGGGTAGGAATCTGTAGACTATGAGACTGACTCTTCTAATACAGGCAATCCCTGCTTAGCACTCTTAATTGGTACCTGAAAAACCGAGCGTTAAGTGAAACCAAAAGTGATGACCCAAGATGGCAACTGCAACTGTTTTTAATGACCCAAGATGGTGACTGCGAGCATTATAACAAAACCTGCTGAGCACTAAATGAGATTTGGTATCAATTTTAAATGAGCGTTATAGTGAAATAGTGATAAGCGAAACAGCATTAAGCAGGGGTTGCCTGTAGTGCATTTTGCTTGCACATTGCCAACTGTTGGTAATGCTGGAATTGAAATATCTGAAAAAATACACTTTGTCCAGTAATTTTCCAGTGAAATCTCTGGAAACATCATGTTCTGAAAGGCTCAAAGGCTGGAGCAGAATTTTAAGGGTATTGTTCCCTTCTGTAACCAAATACTGTAATGTTATTTTGTAAGCAAGGCAAGAAAAATATCCTGTTATTATTTTAATAACTTAATAAAACCAGACCTTGGCCATCTAGGGCCACAGACTCTGGTGATGAGCAGCAAAAATGTATAAAACAACAGAACAACAGTCAGTCAGTCATGTGGAATCATGGTGAGGAAATATGTAGCTTCTGATATAAGGTCACACAACTATTTAACTACAAAAAAAGGCCCACTAAGCAGAAATGTTCCTGGAAAAAGGAGGTTCTGGTTTTGACAATCACATTTTTCATGATCGGAAACACCTTGAACTTCTAGTGCCTAAAGAACATGTGTGCATCATACTAAGCTCAAAACTGCTTTTCCAGGCAAAGTATTTACATCTGCAAAAGGAACTAACCACTGTGTCAGGCAAAGGTGTTCCTCCAAGCACAATGGGAGAAAGTGCAAAGAGATCATACAAATGGTAACTGGCCTTCCACATAACAACTACAGGGCTGGATTAATACTGCAAGTTGCTTTATGCTCTCTCCCGTGCAAATAGTAGTTAAGTTAGTCACTTTAAAAACTCTTACCTTGAGATTTGTATGTGGGTCTTGTTCTTCCAGAGACCCCTTAGAGTACATAAGCTTCTGATTCTAGGTCTGGTGGCTGCTGCTGCTGTGTGAACTCATGTCTGGATGCATCCTGCAGCATCATAACTTAGATGTGAAAGGTCTCCCAACAATTCCTAGGTGACGCCCGAGGCAGTGTTTCTGTGATTGGCTAGGCACTCAGAAGAGTCCTTTAAAAACCAGTGGAAAAACATGGGGCTCTTTTTCAGTTGAGAAACCGAACCAAAATCTGGCTATCTGGGGTCATGAATACTCACCTGAGACTTTTAGAAGTGTCTTAGCTTTGTGCCTTGACCAAACTCTAGCGTTCCCCAAAATTGCGAAGTGTTGCTGTTATTCCTTTTTAATCCACTTTCGTGGATCAGGTAAAGTTGTGAATATTATATAATAAATTTGCCTGCATTCGCTTTAGAGCAGTTATGAAACAAGGCTGCAAATGGAGGCCTTCAAGCCACACAGGGGCTACAAGTTCTTAACTCATAGTCCATGGGCTTCCACCACCTTTACCTCCTTAGCTCCCTGCCCTTCCCCCATGGGTTCAGGCATCATTCTCCTGCTTCTTCCTTCAGCTTGTTTCCTGCCATGTAGCCTGCAGCCACTCAGAAGTTGGACAGCCCTGATTTAGACTCTTGGTATAATGTCATGATGTCTTTAAGTAAAGCAAGAACATCTCCGCATTCATAAGTGTCATTTACATTAACATGGTGAATCATGCAATGACTCCGTTAATAAAATGTAATCTTTACATTTTCACTTATAGAGCAGTCCAACTTGGAAGAACTTTCCAGGGTACCTCCTATAGCTGTGCTTGGGTAGCTAAATGTTGTGAAGCTGCAGCACGTTCACCAGCAAGCATGGTCTGAAATTCAGGCACTTAGGAAAGAGCTGAAAATGTTAAAATAGTTCAGAGCCCAGCCGTTGAAGAAACCAGCAGTAAGGCTAGAAACCAATGGGTTGGGATAAAGATGGGGTGGGGTTGGGGGAAGATGGTCTTTCCCCTTCTATTTTGTAATTTAACTGCAACTTAATGCAGAGATTGCAGAATTTTTCAGTTCTTTGAGTGACTAATCTCTGATAACTTTATGCTCTGATAACACACAGTTTTGTGGGTTGCTCCCCAAAGTATGTTAAACCACACATATTAAGTTAGATTTTTGCCAGAAGGTGACGGTCAAGTGTGGGCTAATTTAAATTCAATGCCAGTTAATATTCTTAATCACATCTGCTTTTTAAAAGTGGACGTGCACAACAAAGGCAAGGTTGCAAACAGCAGTCCAACTAGAAAGCACTCATGGCCTGAGTGCTCAGCAGCAATCTGTTTGCTCTTATTGCTGGTTAGGCTGCACTTATTTTATGGTTGCATTAAAAAGAAAAAAACAACCTGTGGTTTTTAGATCAAAACTAATTCTCATCTCAATGGTAACAGTCTGGACAGTTCAGATTCTTAAATCACTCATTATCAACTATCCTCTTCCCTATCAACCCGAACTATCAGTAGTAGTATTACACTCTATAAAGATGTGTTAATGATATCTGAAACAAAGGGAATTTAGGAGGATAATGTTTGTTTGTTTTATCCTGGGATGAGTCTTGTAAACACCAAATACAGAAAGCAGAACAGAGAGTATAACAGGCAAGGCTAGGTCTTCATTTCATTGTTGCCAAAGTGAGCTAAATGAATCTTGGATAACTGTGTTGTTACATACAGTCAGACCTTTTTCCTCTACATGCAAATCTCTCACTTTACTTCTAGAGAATAGTTCTGCCTCCACTTTTGACAGTAGCAAGTAACACACATTTGTGAAGTGTAGCTTTTCTATCCCCTCCCACCTACTAGGTTGTGACAGTTCAACAATGGCAAGGTGCTCCTTTGCAAAACTCCTTTTGGTACTTAATCATTCTTACTTTCAGTTAATTTCTGCTCACTTCTGTGTTCTGTCTCTCTATAAGATTATTCATCTAAAGTTACTGGAAAGATACCACAGATTCCAGAAAAAGTTTTTTTCCACAAGGAAGACAAAGAATCTTGAATGTGAAGTTGCAGTAAACAAAAGTAGCAGCAGCTCAGGTCAGTCAGAAGATATGGTAAGGTTTCAGTAAAAGGAAGGGATACTGAGGAACATGTTCTGTCTTAGCACTGTAGGGACGTGAAGTCTTCTGATTGGCTAGAGTGGTGTGTATATCAAGTACTGCATTGTTGGAGGACTGATGGAGAAATTTGTACAAATACTGTTTTAGGATGCTAACACCAACCTAAGCTTAGATTCACTAATACTACCTTAGCCCAAAAGTTATTTAGCAATGGTTTTATATAAACTGTATGTTTTTAAAAACTGGTGCGGAAAAACAGTCCAAGCTGTTAAAAGTGCCCATGCATGGCTAGCTGGCTTTGTGATAATGCGGTAGACTGTTCCTTTTGGTATTTTTTTAGTAATGGGACAAGTCATGGAATGTAATCTGAGACTGAGTGTGGAGTTACATAGTTATAACAGTCTGAGTACTAGCTCATATTCCTGAATTTGCTTACTGTAAAAAAAATGTAATTGGGCATATAGCCTGTAGACAACTTAAACTTGGTGATGAGGAAAGGACTGGACCTATACTGGTTCAGGAGGCTAGCAATCTGCCTGTGTATAGTGAATGATAGGTGGCTCAGGTCTCCGCATGTCACAAAAAATAACTGCAGTTTACTTAGTTACTCCATGACACTTGGTATTTCCCTTTCAGCAGAGGGCAAATGTCTCCTTTGAACTGGCTAGTCCAGTAGACTTGATCGTGAAATTATAAATAAAGTAATAATTGTTTTTCCTATTAAATTTCTCTCCTTTTAGGAACATCTCTGTAATACAAGAACGGCATTACAAGAGAGGGCAGCCTTTTTTCAGTCGGTGAACAGCAACCAAGATCTTAAAGATTATCTCAAGAGAAGACTAAATAGAATCCTGCAAAGAACAGATATTGTTTTGGAAAGAGAAAAAATAATCCAGAGTCTCAATCATTTGGATTGAAGGGATGTTATCCTTGCTTAAAAAAAACTTCAATCCAAATGACTCAAAGCAACTCTAGGTCTAGGGAAAG